GAAGAAACTTTTCTTAGAGAGCTATCTCAATTGAACTTGACAGCGACCAAATCTAACTAAATCAGACAATGATATAAACAAGCCATCTAATTTTGGTTAAAAAAAAAAACATTGTGTATGCAAGTTAAAATATTTAAAATTTTCTTTATTATTATTTAATTTTAAATTACATAAATTAATAATATTTATTTACTTAAAAAACTTGGCCCACTTAAGATTTAAAACCTGGTTTCGCCCTTGCTCATTTAGTCACATGTACATACCAAGTCATTAACATAATTTACATATATACTAAATAACTGAAATAAGTAATTTCATTATCCCTATATTTTACTACAGTCTCCTTCTATTTCTCTTCACCTAAACAAACAAGTTGTCATTTTTGTGCGTGCGGGACACAGCTACATTTGCAGGCTTGCCTATCCTTCCGCCATATCTGGAACCAAAACCCCACGTGTTCACTGATGGAGCTAACTTTGCTTCCGGTGGATCCTGTGTGCTTTTTAATTCATCCGTATATGTAAGTTCCCAAGCTACAACTTGAAATTAACACATATCAGATCAGATCGCTCATTTGTATAAATGGCTACTCTCAAGCGAGATCAAATTAATTAACGTTTGGGTTTGTCATATGATTTTCAGATCGATTTACCTATCCAGGTGATATACTTCAAGCGTGTGGTAGGGTTACTGAAAAAGCAAGTCGGTGAAACCCAAGCCAAGAGGATTCTGACCGACGCTGTCTACTTGTTCAGCTCTGGGGGCAACGATTATGCCAAATTTTACCGCAAGCATCCTGATGCTAATGAGGAAAGCATGAGAGCTTTCGTGAAACTAGTGATCGGCCAGTTGCATAATTATCTCCTTGTGCGAATCTAATTACCATGATCTACTACTCTTTGTTCTTGTCGTCATGCAGGCATGTCACAGAATATATATAATTGCAGGAAATAACGAGGTTGGGAGCCAAGAAAATTGCATTTCAGAACGTGGGACCCATGGGATGTATTCCAGCGAGCAGATTATCAGATGGGCAGTGTAATGAAAAGGAAAATGCATTGGCGAGAGAGAACAACAAAGCTCTGGTACTAGTGATGAAGCGGCTAGAGAGGGAGGTACCTGGATTCAAATACTCCATATTGGATTACTATAAAGCAATGGAAGACAAAATTTTCAACCCTCATGAATATGGTAAGACTCTGATGCATTCATGTTTCTCACAGACAGACAGACAGACATACACACATACTGATACATAGTAAAGATGCATGTATGATGATGATGATGATGTGAAGGGTTTAAGGAGGGGCAAATAGCGTGCTGTGGAGGAGGGGCATTCAGAGCAAAGTTTGTGTGTGGAGGATACGGGGAGTACCCATTTGAGCTGTGCAAGAATCCATTCGAGTACGTCTGGTTTGATGGAGAACACACCAGCGAAAAGGCCAATTTACAACTGTCTCGATTGATATGGGAAGGAGGGCCACTCAATATTACCTACCCTTACACTGTCCGCCAACTCTTTCAACTTTGATTCACACAAACACACACACCCTGGCTAAGGTTTTCAACAATAAACCTGCACACTATCATCAATAAATACTTCATTCTATTTTTACCAGTCAGTTAAGTAAATCCCAAATAATACTCCATTTACGTCCATGTTATTGTATGGGTCTGGCCATATATAAGTTGTTCTCATAATTTCCTTCTAAATTTATCAATGAATTTTATTGTTGTTTTAATTCAACGTGCTTCTTTCTTGTGTCTATTTGTTACTTGTGTCTCTATAAATAACGTCAACCATTCCATGTATCATGAGCACTATTTTGTAATGGTGGGTGATTGTTATCTGTCAACTTTAATTAAAAGATCATCAGTCATTTTTAATTTAATAGTAGGTCAACTCAATCCACAAGTATACATTAATGGACTGACATTTTATTTTTTTAATATTTTTTAATAATAAAATATGTTGGTGGGATTTATTTTATATTTTTTTAATTATATTTGCATGCGCTCTTTTCCAAACTCAGCCGCCCGACATTGCTCCGTGGCTGGACCTCGAGTCTTCAACCCCGTCCTCGTGGGTCGCCGCTGCCCACCGTCCTTAACGATTCTTCTCCTTCGTCGTCTACGGCGCTCGTCCTCGGCACTTGGTATTCAAAGTGGTCTTATCCTTCACCCTTCTAACCACAGTGCACTCCATAATCCAGATCCTCGCCTTCACCGTGCCAAGGAAGAAGCCGAAAGAGGGATTGGAGGGGCAGAAAAAGGAGGCCTTTTAGTTCAGGGACCCATATCAGTTTTCAAGAGCGAGTGGCAACTAGGAGTGGACCCTTCGGAAATAAAAAAAAAAAAAAACATTCCCTGCATAAAGCGCAAACAATGTGAGCCATTCCTTTTCTGCACGCAAGTCCGCCAGAGATCCAAATTTTTTTAAAATATGCAAGTACAAAATTTGGTTTCTCTCCAACCGAGCTGCGTACCCATATAATTAAGGGAGAAAAAAGTCTACACATAACCTAGCAGCATAGCCTAACTTGCCATCCCATCAATTTCTACTTCCTTTCTCTCTGCACCCTTTCCCCTGTGACTCATTTGGTAGTATGGAAGAATTATTGATGAAAGTGTCGCAGTCGATGACTGACAATGAACACATCTACACGCATCTTAATCAAACTCAAACATAGCAAGAAAAGCTTGGGGACAAGCATGGAAAATGAGGAAGGAAGTGAAGGAATTGAGTTCCAATGTTTTTTATGCAAGTTACTTGTCCTAAGAAGTGAACTCCAGCATACCAAACATCTAATTTTTAAAGTTTTACTTTTACTTTCACTTCTCTTATCTCAATTTTATTTTATCAAACGAGTCATTATAAACGATGATGGTATTAAACTTGGGTACTTATTATATTAAAATTATGAGATTTTGATCATTTAAATATTAATCTAAATTTAACATTTTAAGTTTTTATTTTCAATCTATGTTTACTAGTAAAAAATTGTAAAATTTATAAAAATCTGATAATATCAATTGAATTTGGATAGTTCAAGTTCATATGAAATATTTCAATAATTTTTATAAATTAATTATTTAAATTTACCTTCGATGCTCTAGATTTAAAAATTTTAAGTTGTAATTTTTTAAAAAATACTTGAAGATTGTTTTAATTTTAAATATTATATTTATCAAAATAAAAATTTATAAAAAATATATTCAAAAATTAATATTAAATTTAGACTTTTCAAAATGCGTTTAGATCATCAATTTACAAATATTGTAAAAAAATTTAAATTAAATTGAATTACTCAAATTAAATATGAATGATCCAGTTTTTTTTTTATCAGTTAGTTCCTGCACTCCAAAGATGAATCCATATATTTATGTGTTATTATTATATATAAAGATTTTCCTTTTAAAAGTTATATTTTCTTTAAGGTATTTCATTTTTTTCATATATATAATCACAATTATAAATTTAATATATTATATATAACAAACACCCAGTTATATGTTGGAGGGAAAAAAACCACACCCCCGCACCACATATTATACATAACACACCAATATATTTAACTCGTGCACACGAGGAGGGGAAGTAGGAAGTAGGGGAGGAGCACTAGAGATGGCAGGCTATCCTGCAAGACTATGCTTAGACTGTTTTTTAATTTAATCACGAGGTCTTGATTTAATAGAGACCAAGTTTTATACTTTTATATTTAAAAAAAAAAATCGGATCTCGGTTTAATATAAATTGAGTCTCAAATTTATAATACTTGGAAAAATACTTTTGAAAGAGTTGTATATGAGTAAATAATTTTTTTTGGCAGTATTAAGGTCAAATTGCCACAGAAAGATGAAAAACTTTGGAGAAGTTTCTAATAAATCACCCTCGCCACGTTCCTCTTCTAACAAAATTATTTGTGCCCCTCTTCTAACAAAAATTTCATTTGTGTCCTCACATAAAATTCCATTCGTCCCCTTTAATATTTGAAAATCTTGAATCTCTATATTTTTTAGGTTAATTCAATCATATATTTCTTCCAGTTCCACTTACATGGTAGACAGAAATATTTTTATCATAATTATAAGACATGTAATTGATTTTTTTATAACAAATTTTTTTCCTTTACCCCATTTAATGAGAGACAGTGCGTTATTAACATGTATTTAATAATAAAAATTTAAAAAAAATTATTAAATTTTTAAAAAAGTTAATAAATTTAAAGATTTTGCTTGATTCTAGTAAAACATGTTGAAAATGATTTATAAATAAGATTGAAAGGAGTATTTTTAAGCCTATAATTTTTTTTACTTTAATTTTGAATAAAATTTATAAAACTTATATGATAAAATAAAGCTTCACATTTCACAGCACTCCTTGCTCTCGTGTTTCTTCATTTCTCAATTTGTTCTTAAGCATCTCTTCTACAATTCCCTTTCTCTTATTTGTATTTTCTGATTTTAGTTTTCTTCTGTCTCTCTGGCATATTAAAAAAAATTTAAAAAAATCACAATTTGCTTCACTTGCACTTTATGCTGGCACTTCTCTATTGTCGTGATCATTTTCAAATTTATCTTACTGTTATGTGATATTTCTTCGAGTAGAGAAAAAACTTGGAAATTCCCGAATCTTTTAGGAGAAAAGCTGCACTTTGAATATAAGTTGTTACTATTCATCTCCCAAAAGCAAAAACTATTCCATGTGCCTTCATTTTCTGAGTTCTTGCTTGCTTTGTTTTTTTTTTTTTTTTTGGAGATGAGTAGTAACTTGCTTTGTTGATTTTCTAGTTTCCTGAAGTATCTGTTTCTGGAAGTTTTCCAAAACACCATAAGGAAAAGTGATTACTTATTGAATAAAAAAAAAAAGTGGGATACCATATGCAAACGGGCTGGTCCAACGCGTTTTAGCTTACTCGTGCTAGCCTAGCCCATTTTGATACAGGCCAAAAGGGGCTGAGCATGGATATAGGTTGGTCCAACCTGTTTTACACAAAACGGGACAAGCTACAAGCAGCTCCTAAGAGTTAGAACAAATTTTAGAAGGCAAACTAGCTTTTAACAACTTTTTCTAAGAGGTACCTAACTAAGATTTATACTCAAAACAATTCCATTTTGTTAACCAGAGGGGACAAATGACTGCGTATTACTATGCAGAGACTAAGCAGCGCATCTGATAATGATAAGAAACCTTATCAGTATCACTGTATAATAAAGTTACTGTAGTTTTCGTCTGGTGGATATGCAGGAAATTAAAAGTTACAGATCAATGCGGTCCCTTGCACAACGAATTTCCTATCCACCACAACTCCAATAACCTTGTTTCGCGATCATTTCTACCCTCCTTCGGCCAAAAAAGGATCATTTCTACCCTTCATAAATTGACTTTCAAGTATTTTTTCGTACAGAGACACGCACATTGAAGGGGGCGAAGTACTGTAGAAGAAGAGGTGGAAAACGAGAAATGGCGAGCGTTGCTTATGTGTTATGTTCCTTACTCAGCATTTTCTTGAACTTGGAGAGTTGCATTGTTGAGTACAAGCAGCAGCAGCCTCCATTAATACAAGTGAATGAGCGCAAACCCTTGTTTGTCTTCGGCGATTCTCTGTTTGATCCTGGAAATAATGTTTACGTCAAAACTGATCTGAAACTGACTTCAATTTATTGGCCTTACGGGGAAACTTTCTTCCACCGTGCTACCGGCAGATACTCCGACGGCCGCATTGTCCCTGACTTCATCGGTAACTTTCAATTTCTCACCTTTTTATATATATTTGCCGTGTTCGTGGGTTCATCTTTGAGGTTGCTTACTTCGTTAAATCTTGTTTTGAATCTCTCGAAATGGGTGCTTTGGATGATTTTTTTTGGGTTGGAGCTGGCTATTCGTTCCTTGATTACGCTTGAACTTGAATGGGTTGCTGATGCTCATAAAGTGTTTGTTAAAATGTGTAAGAGAACGCAAATGCTTGATTTCTTATTTGATTACTTAAATGTTTGATTCATGAGGATTATATATGGATCTTGCTTGAGCTTGAATAATTTATTGCTTGAATTATTGTGTTAAGTATACTATTATTTGTGAAATTTGATTGATTACTCGAATGCAAAATTTAAATGATTGAATACTTATTTTTGAAATTTTACTAACTCCACAAATGAATCTTGATTGCATGCAATTCTCTATTAAAAGAATAACTAAAAATGCAATATGTTTTTAAAATTTTACTAAACTCATACAAACTTTACTCTTATTTTGTGAGATTATATATTGTTTTTGTTGTTATTGTAAACTTTTATGCTACTGAATTTTTTTTTTGTCAATTGTTGTTCGTTTAATTCATTAAGTATAACACCATTAGATTAGGGAGGAAAATATATCTTTTTGATTAGGTTAGTTATTAGTTATTAGTTTAAATAGTTTAGTTATTAGTTTAGTTTGGATTATGTATAATACTCAATGTATCTTTTTTTTAAAAAAATTAGGTTAGTTATTATTTTAATTAGTTAAAAGTTCATAATAAGATTCAAGGGAAAAAATATTAGTAACTCATGGATTACCATTGATGGCTTGGTTTTCACTATAAATATTTGACAATTATTTTCAAGAATTTGTTTATAAATTCAACTAAAAAGCAAATATAAATGCATATACTTGATAATTTTTAACTATTAAGTAAGATTGACTGCAATATATGGCACATTCTTACTTGATAGTTAAAACCATCAAGTATTGGAGTATTTTGTGGTAGCTAGTGTTTAGTAATTAACATTAGTATATGTTAATTAAAATTTGCTAAGATTGCAATAATAAAATATTGATGATAGTTATGTAGATTAATAAAAAAATATAATTATTTATATAAGAAAAAATGGAGTTTGAAATAAAAATAAAATAAAATGTAAGGGGTTGGTTGATAAAACTCAAACTAATTTAAGGATTCAATTTCAGAGATCATGATGCTCAATACCAAAACACTTTTGTTAAAGTATATTGTTAATTTTTTTCCCTTTCAAACCACAAAATTATTATAATCATAATAAATAAATATTATAAAATTATTGTTTTAATATTTAATAAATTAGTAAATTTAACATGTTAAAATTTAACTTGAACAATTCAGATATAAATTTTGCTCTGAATAGTTCAAAATTGTACTGAAAAAATTAAAATTGTAATTAGAAATATCTTATAAAATATTTTTTTTTGATGTTGCACATTTGTCCATCTATGACTATGAGAGGTAATATCACTTAAGGCATGACTAGATATTAAATATTAACACTTCTGTTAAAAGAAATTTAAATATTGATTTATTATGAGAAACTAAATCATTTTTCAAGGCTCAACCCTCATTTTAAACTCTTTAAATCTTTTTTATTTATTTTTTTCAGCATAATTATGAACTATTTAGACCAAAATTTAGATTTGAAGGTCAAATTTTAACAAGTTAATATTTTATGTATTTTATTAAATATTAAAATAATAATTTTATTATACTTATTTATTATTATAATAATAACTTTGTGGGTTAAAAAAAGAAAAAAAAAAGTTAACACTATAGTGTTTTGGTGTTGAGCACTGGGATGAACACCGAAAGTGAATCCCTGATTTAAACGCTAACTTGTACTCATTTACGGTGGCACAGAACCACGTTAATGGCGAGGCCCTCGGGTTCCACCCCCTTTAGTGGTAATAAATAGAGTTAAAACCCGTCTTCATTGTTTCGGTTTTGCCTCCTTTGATCTGGATGTTTTCTTTCTGCTTGCTGTCTTTCATTTGTGTTGTTATTTTGTTTCGATTTTGGGGCTTTGGCCTCTTTTGGTGTTTTTTGCCATTGAATGAAGAATTTTTTCTGGGGGGAAAACTAACCTCTCTCCTTAATTTTATTTAAATATATGGGGTTAAAAAGCAAATTTGTCTCAAAAAATTTTCGACAAAAGCAACTAATATCCTTAATTTTTAATTGGAGCAGTATTACTATTGAAGCTTGAAAATAATGCAATATTATCCTACAGTAACATTTGACCATAACTTGAAAATTCTGACTGGGTCTAAAAAATAATTTTGCCTTCAAAGTTTTTTTAAAAGAACAATTGATATCTTGAACTTTTTATTAACACAATGTTTTCAGGTTATATGTTCGAACTAAAAAAAAATCTAACAATCCATTGATATTGTTAAAAGTAGTTAATGTTTTTAAATTTTGACAAAGGTCTTGCCCGCAGTTGTCTTGACACAAACCAAGCACTCCACATGCTTTCTTTTGAGAAGGTTCAAGCTTGCCCTTAAATACAAACTTTTTTAAATATAGACTAGTTTAGATTTTGACTTAAAATCGATCAAGGTAATTCAACCTAAAATTTTCTCCTATTTTTAGATTATAACAAGTTGTATTGGATTCTCTTTTTAATTTAAAAGTTGATTACCTAAAAACATTACACCCATTAAAAGTTTATAATATCAATTACTTCTTCAGACAAACATTTAGAGTAAAATTATCATCCAACATTTAAAATAACAATCAACGTTAGTTAATTGTTATTATAAGGTGGCATTGTATAATTTTTGAAACTTTCAAAATAATATTGGTTCAATCAAAATCAATGATACTAATTGCTTCTTGTGAAAAATTGCTATGGTAAATTTTCCCTTTAACCCACACACCCCTTTATAAAATATATCTATTATATATGATAAATATTATATATTATAAAATATATAATTTATTATTTTTTAAAGATATTTTTATTAACATTAAATTTTTTTTATTCATGCTAAAATTATGCATAATATTTATATGTACATATTAGCCTATTTTCTTTATTTTTTTTAAATTAAATCATTTGAAATGACGCATCATTTTTAAGAATATTGTCCTCCACATGTGTGCCAAGAAAAATTTCAATCCTTTTACCAAGTCTTAATATTCAATGAGATCTATTTCGACACAAATTTTTATAAAATACGTAGATACTTGTTATAAAAAATTAGGTAATTAAATTTATATACTTTTTTTCAATCAAATCAAAATAATTGAATTTTAAATTTACAAAAATTCAAAAATATCAACAACAAGACAAGGTTAATTTAAAATAAAAGTGATGGTTTAATTGAACTGGACAATGATTGAATCATTTGGCCGAACAAATATTTTTTAGAGAGTTGTCTCAATGACTTGGCAAATCGAATTTGACTCAATCAAGCAGTCATATAAAAAAACCACCTAATTTTGACAAAGAAAAACATTGTGTATATAAGTTAAAATATCTAGAATTTTCTTTATTATTATTGTTATTATTTAATTTTAAATTACTTAAATTAATGATATTTATTTACTTCAAAAACTTGGTCCTCCTAGATTTAAAGTCTGGTTCAGCCACTGCTCATGTAATTGCATATACATATTAAGTTATTAACATACTTTACATATTAAATTAGTTTAAGATCTTGAATTTATGTTTTAAAACTTAAAAGACTAATATAGTAATTTAAAAAGATATAAGGATTAAATTGATAAAAATTAAATATAAAAAATTAAATCAATAATTAAAATAAATTTAAGTGATTTCATTATCCTTGTATTTTATTACTGTCTCGTATTTCTCTTCACCCAAACAAACAAGTTGTCATTTTTTTTTATCCTTTTTTGTGTGGGACACAGCTACATTTGCAGGCTTGCCTATCCTTCCACCGTATCTGGAACCAAAACCCCACGTGTTCACTGATGGAGCTAACTTTGCTTCCGGTGGATCCTGTGTGCTTTTTAATTCATCCGCATATGTAAGTTCCCAAGCTACAACTTGAAATTAACACATCCGATCAGATCGCTCATTTGAATAAATGGCTACTCTCAAGCGAGATCAAATTAATTAACGTTTGGGTTTGTCATATGATTTTCAGATCGATTTACCTATCCAGGTGATATACTTCAAGCGTGTGGTAGGGTTACTGAAAAAGCAAGTCGGTGAAACCCAAGCCAAGAGGATTCTGACCGACGCTGTCTACTTGTTCAGCTCTGGGGGCAACGATTATGCCAAATTTTACCGCAAGCATCCTGATGCTAATGAGGAAAGCATGAGAGCTTTCGTGAAACTAGTGATCGGCCAGTTGCATAATTATCTCCTTGTGCGAATCTAATTACCATGATCTACTACTCTTTGTTCTTGTCGTCATGCAGGCATGTCACAGAATATATATAATTGCAGGAAATAACGAGGTTGGGAGCCAAGAAAATTGCATTTCAGAACGTGGGACCCATGGGATGTATTCCAGCGAGCAGATTATCAGATGGGCAGTGTAATGAAAAGGAAAATGCATTGGCGAGAGAGAACAACAAAGCTCTGGTACTAGTGATGAAGCGGCTAGAGAGGGAGGTACCTGGATTCAAATACTCCATATTGGATTACTATAAAGCAATGGAAGACAAAATTTTCAACCCTCATGAATATGGTAAGACTCTGATGCATTCATGTTTCTCACAGACAGACAGACAGACATACACACATACTGATACATAGTAAAGATGCATGTATGATGATGATGATGATGTGAAGGGTTTAAGGAGGGGCAAATAGCGTGCTGTGGAGGAGGGGCATTCAGAGCAAAGTTTGTGTGTGGAGGATACGGGGAGTACCCATTTGAGCTGTGCAAGAATCCATTCGAGTACGTCTGGTTTGATTCAAAACACACCAGCGAAGGGGCCAATTTACAACTGTCTCGATTGATATGGGAAGGAGGGCCACTCAATATTACCTACCCTTACACTGTCCGCCAACTCTTTCAACTTTGATGCTCGCGCGCGCACCCCCCCTGGCTAGGGTCTTAAATAATTACCCTACACACTATCATCGATAAGTACTTCATTCTATGTTTGCCAGTCAGTTAAGTAAATCCCAAATAATCGATATTATTATATGGGTCTTGCCATATATACGCAGGGACCTCCTGTTCTTATCACTTCCTTCTAACATGCAAATGAATTTTATTATTGTTTTTATTCAATATGCTTCTTCCTTGTGCCTATTTATTCCTTATGTCTCTAGAAACAACGTGAAACCTTTCGATATATTATGATTTTTTTTTTTCAATAGACAAAAATGGTTTTATTCTATATAATATAATGATGATTCAAAATATCCATTAACCATAAATAGCGTTTTGTCCTTTCCTTTTTCATTTTTTTCTTTAATCTTTTTGCTTGTTCACTTCGTTGACTTTCCGGTTTCCCAATCCCTTTCGTGAAGGTTACGTTATCCTGTACCCATCAAATTCCTTACATGTTTGGTGTGCGCATCAAAGTTTACACGTCACTTAATTAAGACCGAATCTACTTGAAAATTGTTTGATAATTAAGATCCTATCTTGATCCTTGATGGAAAGGAACTGTTTTAAAAACTGAACTGGACTGGCCGGTCGGACTGGTTGGATCGTCGACCGGTCTGGTTTCCGATCTAGTTCAAAGAAAAAAACCGTTTTAAGAGTTGAACCGATTTGAGCTGTTTCGAACCGACGGTCAAACCGAGAACTGGATTCTGTTTTCAAAAACCGGACTGTTCAAAATTTTTTTTTATTTTTTATCAAATTTTTAAAAAAAAATGATTAATTTTTTTAATCATTTGATATTATATTGTATCATATAGTTTGTTAAATCATGATAAACTTAAAATATTTAATTTTTTTAAAGTTAAATAATAATTTCATATGTATTTTTTATATTTAAATTATTATATACATATATAATTTTTTTAATTTAATTATTACGTCACCGGCCGGTCCAACCGATTGAACTATGCGAACCGTTAACCGCTGGCTTTTCCGGTTCAATGTTCGATCCGGTTCTGAAAACATTGTGGAAAGGGGTTGCTTTCAATTTTGTTTTCTCAAAATTGGGACCTCATTGAAGAATATTCAGTATCATAGCTGTAGTTGAATTGAATCTCATTGTTTATTTTAAATCCAAAAATGAATAAAATACTAAAAATATATCAAATCAATTGCCAAGTGCTAAAATCACTGTTGCAAGGAGAGGGCGTCGAACTAATAAAATGGCAAGTATTAGGAAGAAATCCCTAACAAACACTGAGCTTGAAATGGGTCCCAAACAACGTGCTTAGAAGCATCAACTGCCCGTTAATTGATCTAATGGCTTTGCTTCCTCCAATGGTTTCTCAACCACACATCAAAACTCAAGGGATCATGATATGGGATTTATCGGTATCGCAAAGCTATGAAGATGAAGAAATACTGCAGTCATTGACTCGTTTCAAAGCATGGGAGTCGAGTCTCATTGAACAAGATAGAATTTTGAGAGCTGTGGGGTTTCAAGGAATCTCGGGCTCTTCAACATGCTGCTACCCGGAAAGTCCCTATCTCGTGCTCCCCCCAGTGGCTTCTAAAATCTCAATCACTGGGTTTATTTCCGATAGCTTTGTGAGAAAGTGGTACTGTGTGTGTGCATACAAGAATTTCTCTAGCTTTTGTAGGTTCTCATCTGCATTCAGCTTTCTTATCCAATGAACTTGTGCAACCAATACTAGCGTCCTCCCCTTCCTTTTATATTAATGTTGAGATCCTTGGTGTCACCTGAAGTTACTGCTTTGTCTTCAACTTCTCCAGCCACTTGTAATTTTTTTTCCAGTATTGTCTCCCCATCAGATGCTACTTCTGAGCTACCAGTCTTCCTGCACTTCCTAATTATTCCTGCTATCTCTCTCAGCAAGCCATGAGATCAATTAATGAACATTTGCGACTATCCAACGATATTATTGAAAAGCTTCTTTAAGAGACACATTTAATTTTAGGAGAGTAATTTGAGACACTTCAAACTTAGAGTACCAATTGCACACGTTACATAAAGTTAGAAGACCGGAGTTCTAAATCTTTCTCACCAGAATCTAACGAAGTTAGCCAAGCCTACGAAAAAGCTACTCTAAAACTGAAGAAGAGTGAAATGTATTAATAATATAATACATTTGACTGACCCTGATCTGCGATGCAGTTAAAGCTCAGTTTACTGCGCAATATAAGAGTGGAGGAAGAGAGAATCATAGCAATCAGAAGAAAAGAAAATATTTGATAAGTTCGCAGTGATTGGGACAGGTTAAAAGCTGGGCAACTTAGACTTTCGCAGCAAGAAGGATTCCTAGTAACATGGATCTGAGCGAATTAAAATCTCACAGCAGTCGTCCATGTACCTTGCACACTAGGGTGCTTGGTTACATGTCTAGTCCTCAGTTTCACAACTTTTCTTCCTAATGCATTCCTTAGCCTGGTCGCATGGAGAAGTATGTCTTCTGGATCCATATTCTTAACACATATCACCCGGTGGTTGTGGTTCTCTGCATTTCATAAGACACTCTTCCAATTAAAACTTGATACAAGTTTCAGCAACTAAGTTACAACCTACAAGTGTGCTTGAAAGCCTTACTGTAGAAGCCCTTCAGATGGGGATGCTGACCACGAATAAGTTCTGTAACCACCTCCAGTTGAGGATTCTTCTCCTTAAAAGCTGGCAACTGAGACTCCATAAATGCCCTAACACACATTGAAAACGTCAAAAATTCCTCTTCAACCATAAAAAAGGATGAGAAAGACAGTTTATAATAGAATTCTGGACCCGCAGGAAGGCAACAGGAAGGAGAACATCAGGAAGTGGACAGTGAACAAGACAGAAGGAAGGACAAACGAATCAGTGACAGTAATGCAATGATTCCGTGTTCAAAGTAACTAACACTAGGACAATAAAATAAGGTCCGAATAAATAGTGATAGTAAAAGCACCAAACAAGCAAGAACTACTTGTCATTTAAAAATGCTGACCAACATCTCTGTAAGAAATGTGGGTGCTCAATGTAAAGTTCACTGATTCACCTAAGGAAACTTCTTTTACAACCCAGAAGAATGGCGGTGATCAGATCCCCTGCTTGGAAATTATTTACAGCCAAAGTGAAGGGAAATAGTCCTTCCTGAAGAAGCATACAGCGCCAAGAATAAAATATACAATTTCTTGACCAAGAAAGATGTGCTTTTGTTTTGTATCTATCAAATTAGCAATATAAAGTCCCAAATAATGTAGCCAACTTATCCAGGGCAACAGAGAAAAACACTTGAAAAGAAATTATCAATTTAGTGATTCATTACCAGCCCTGAAACGGAAAAACAAAAGTCTGTCACTGAAGATCAAAAGTGATTATCAAAATTGGGAACCTATAACTACTAGACCCCTCATGAATATCAAGCATAAGCTCATAAAAGAGGAAATTTGCAGCAAAACCCAGGGACTATTCATAATTTTCAAATTCATTCTTTAGCTCAAAGACATTTGGGAAAAAAACAATAAACTTAACGTGAAATGATCATGGCTGTTAACTTACATGTTAGTTATTGATGAATGATAAAAGTATATCAAACTTAATGATAAAAGTATATCAAACTTAATTGTCCTCGAATGAAAGAAGCAGATCATGGGAGCAATAAAACCTATAAAATGGCATGCATAGGATACAGAAGTACTTAAATTCACCCTTGCAATTAATTTTGCAAAAAAGCTACAAACAAATAAACCCTGATTAAAATGAAAAACAAGACTTGAAATTCATAACAATGACAAGCATACCTTATTCCTCTGCTACTTCCACCCCAATCGCAATAGCTCACAATCAGCTTCTGCAGTTGCCAAGCACCCCTCAAAGCCATCTGATTGATTCAAAAAGAGAAGTGTTTGAGAGAAAATTAAATGGTTAAAAATAGATATGACGTCGAGAAGAGAGATGGTTAAACAGAATCAAGGACCTAGTTTTATTTTTTCTTTTTTGGGGGGGAGGGGTTTTGGGGGGGGGGGGGGTTGGGGCGCAGAGATGTGAGTGCACTGAGCAATCTGACTAAGATCAAATGCTGACTGTTACAGCGGACGACTAATCTAGCAGAATGCTGCAAGGGGTGATAAACGGCAACACACCATATTATATATATATATATATATATATATAATTTTCCAGCAAAGCGTACAACCCGTTCCTTCCCCTCTCAACATTTCCTCCAGCGAAAAAGTAAAGAAGCCACCACTGGCATAAACAAATACATGATGTTCGATAGATATTTCATGTTGTATGGAAACCAAAAAAATATATAAAGCAAAACATAATAATGAAGGATATCGAAAACCGGCATTTAGAATCATTGATCTAAAAAGCTTCTCTGCAAGGGGCCATTAGAATTATATTGAAGCCCCCTTTTCACTTGAAGGCCACTGCAAAGAACTCCATATTTTAAACTAGCAAAGGTAGTCAGGATTCAGTAAGAAAGTAAAAGAAATTGCCTGAAGGATTGAGCCGAGAATGATAGAGACAGACGGTGAATCTCACCCGCTCACCGTGTGAGATTGAGCGTAGAACGAGAGAAAGATTGACGAAGAACGCAGCAGCAAGTTCAACGGAAACAGCAGGAGTGAAGATCAGAGCCTCAGGTGATGTCGTCTTCTGGTTAGTGAGAGGTAAGGAGTCGCCGGCGTTAGGAGAAATGGGGAAAAGGTGTTAGGATTTCAGATTGTGCGAATGGTGGAGACGACGTCGTGGACTTGGGCCAAGGAGTTTCATCTTTATTGTTGTCACGAAGTCCATTTAGTTGTTGGACTTGGGCCAAGGAGTTTCATCTTTATTGTTTTAGTCATTGAAAGTGTAAAATTCATTTTCAATTTTTTCAACTATCAATTTAATCATTAAAATTTAATTTGAAACAATTTAATTTATATAATTCATTAACCTAAAATAATTTAATATTTATAATTTTTTATTTGATATAATTTATTTTTATAATTTTTTAACTCAGTAGATTATAAATATGTATTGGTAATTAAAATTCAATAACTAAATCAATAATTGAAAAAAAGTTTAAAAATTAAAAATTATATTTTTTTTATTTATCCACATTTTCTACCTTTTAAATTTAATTTTTCACATACCTATGGATCAAGTCCATGGGCTTTCCAATTTGTTTAAAGCCCATTTAGTCACTGGATAAGGAGTGTTGAAAAGTTGGGTTCAAAACGGGTTAGTATCAAGTGTGACTGTAGGAAAAAGAGGGTGTCTCCACTTCCTTTCTCTCCATTTTTCTATTATCACCCTTGAATTAAAATTTTTCAACAGGTCAAATTTAATTATTTAAACTTTATATAAATAAAATATTATGATTTATAATTATTTAAATTCAAATTTATTTATATATCTTTGTATAAAATTAAAATAATAATTTTATCAAAAAAAATTGAATAGCTAAAATTTTGATTCAAGTATAATGAAAGGAAAATGAAGGGAAGAGAGGTGGAGACACCCTCATCCTTAGAAGTGAGATTATGGACCAACTCGACCCATATAAGTTGAGAGAAATATTAGTTGGGGTGGGTTGGGTTCGACCCATTTTTATATAGATTGAAAAAATTTTAACTCAACCCAACCCTTGAAAATTAGTGGGTTAAATGAGTTAACCTAACAAACCATTTATTTATTTTTTAAATTTATTTTTATGAGTTTTTTTAAAAATACATCAAAATAATTAGTTTCAATTTGATATTCTTTCATAATTTATTCTAAATATATCAAAATATTAATTTATAATATTTGTAAAAAATATATAAATTGATTCAGTTAAGTAAGTCATGTCCAATATGGTTTATATCCACAAAATTTTTGCCTTTTTTAATTTTTTTTTTAAATAATATAGATTAAATGGGCCAACACTAATCTATCAAAGTTAACCCATGTGATTCATGAGTTATATGATTCGGGTTAGAAAAAATTTATTTTTGAATTAATTTTTTTAACCCGACTCTTATAATCAATTATTCAAATCAACTCATATAATTTCATCATATTTTCAGCTCTACAGTCATCCTGACTGTACTGTAAACAAGTTGTTGAAGTTATGCATATCAATGAAAAGAGGCCAAGTTGTTGAAGTTATGCATGTCAATGAAAAGAGGCTAAGTGGCAATTTGCATATTTTGGAGAGGATACAAAAATTGGGTGCACTAGGTCAAACTCTCGCGCGTCTTGTTTGCCGTGCAGAATACAAGCCACGGTGACTCTAAATAAAATATTTTAAGAAAAATCCCTTGTTTTACACTTTAAATAAAATAAGGGAGCTTGCATGCATGATTGGACTGTCAAGTAATATATAATTAACCACGTTTCTAGAAAATTTAATGCTTATAATATCCGGCTTGTACAATACTCTTATGACGCAGGTGACGATTCACAAATATTCTATATACATATACATATATATATACATATATATCACCCTCGTTGTCGTACTTTTTTTTTTTTGGAGGGGCCAAAAGCCTCGTTGTAGCATTCACTTCCTTCCTAGTTATAAGAGAAAATTAACTTAACTCACACGTGCTAAGAAAACAGTTAAAAATAATTAATATCTGAAAATTGATTCCATTTTTTCACCTATACCCTAGATTAATATTTACATATTTCCATATTTTCAACTTTCTGCATGGAAAAGGTCTCATTTATTTATCAGGTGAACCAAGTGTTTTTATTCATTGTTTATAGGGGCATTTCAGTGGAAAATTTATTAATTAATTAATTCTACAATTTTGTAAAATGATTTGTATAAATGGACACAACAGGCTTCAAAAATTTTTCTCATAATAATTAGTGATGGAGGGAGTAACATGTCAGTAATGGATATGCTTATAGAACCCGATGTTCCTAAAATCTGATTTCTTGATTTCTATTCTTGTATGACTTATTGGCTTAGCCTCCTGCTTGAGGGAAAAAAAAACGTTAAAGAGCAAAATCTAGGGATTTTGGGAGATAGTGATTCACCATGTGTACATGGAGGATGATGAATTGATCATTGTGCTAATTGGAGTGGGGGGGAAAAAACAATCTGAAATACCCTTTGAGATTATGGGTATATGGATTTGATTAATGACTTAAATCCAATTATTCAATTCACATCTCAATTATAGTTATAAGATTTTATTATAGTTATAAGATTTTATTGGCACTCAAAAATTATCAAAATGCTTTTTTCACCAAAAAAAATTAAAACAATCCTCACGATCAATATACTCCTCATGTATATTATTCCCTTTAAAAAATTGAGATATAATATTTTAGAAATATTATATGACAAAATTTACGATAGCTATTTGATTAAATTTAATTTTTATTGCTGTATTGCGTGAGGTATTTATTGAATAAGAAGATTTACACCACTCATTACATCCAAATCCTTGAGTTTGACCTTTTTGTTTAAATTGAAAAGAAAATAGAAAGGAAATAATAATTTTTCTAAAAAAGAAGATTATTTTTTTCTACTCATTTTTTCTTCTAATCCAATCGGATATACGGTTTGAGACTTGGCGCTTCGTTGGGAGGCAGTTTATTTCTCCCATGCCCATAGATATCGAATATCCAAAAAAAAAAATTTACACGAGAAAAATGAATTAAATTTATAAAATAATAATTGGAGTTTTATGATTCATAATCCCTTCATTTAAAAATATAAGTCATTTTTTGAAGAATTGGATATTAAAAAATGTAATGCATTTTTAATTTTTTAAGGTATAATTATTGTTTTTTTTTCAAAAACACCCTTATTAATAATGACTTTATATTTATTGTAAGGTGTTTGATAGGGATAAATATAAAAGGATAAAATTAGTTAGAAAGTAAATAACTATCTTATTAAAGGGTAAGATTCAATTAAAAATATTTTATGTATTTTAATGAAGAGAGTATTAATTTTTGAACCAACTATCTGATGAATCACTTCACAAAAATCGTTCTGTGTGTGTGTGGAAAAATTTCCTTGTGGGTGCCGCGGGGGGGGGGGGGGGGAGATTTCCTTGTGGAAAAAACTTTATTTAAGACTCCTTCGTCCCATCCTTCGTCCCATTTAATAAAAAAAATATTTTTAAAATTCTAAAACTTTATTTCAAACCAAAGATCGTAAAATACAATTAAAATAATAAAAAACATAACAAGATTAATATTCTTTTAAATTAAAAGAAATTCTTTAAATTCTGTTTTCCTTCACCTTCTCTCTCCGTAGTTAAGAAAGAAATAAGTAGAGAGAGAAACCTTGGGCCCAAGCAGTGAAAGAGCTTGCCCGTAGAGAAGATCACAAGAGCAACATCTCCATCGCAAAGAACTGCAAGCTCCTAAGCTTTCTTGAAGAGTCCTCTGCGTCGCTTCGAGGTCGTCACCTGCGTCGCCGTGGCATCGTCGATTTTCTTAATCTGAATTTTCTTCCTCGCCATATTCTTCTTCAAGAATGTTCTTCTTCACAGTGGCGTCGGTGCGCGCGTCATCACCTTCACCGTCGGTGGCCTCACTGTTCTCAACGCCATTTTCGGTGCCTACAGTGAAAATTTGCCTCTCACTCCCATCGTCGGGGTCCCAACCTATGGAGCACACGGATACTTAAAAACAGTAAATATATCCGTATCCCATGCATATTCGATAGATACTTTTAAAATATTTTTATATATATATCTCATATATTAACATTTTTAATATAATTTTTTATTATATCACTTAAAAATTTAAAAAAATACTTAATATTTTAATTAATTATTATAAATATCCTAATATCATTTTAAAAATTCTTGTTTAAAAAATTAAAATACTTATATTTATATCATAAAATATTAAAATTTATATTATAAATATTTTTATATTTATATCTTAAAATTTTAAAAATTTATCATATCCTCAAATCATGCCACATTATATTAAATACTTGTACCCTATCTATGCAACTAAGATCCCAACTCCGACGACTATGTCACCAACCCGATGCTCCATCACATCATCGGGTTGGCCTCAGGTTTCCAGACTGTCATTTGCTACCAGTGCTAATTTCACTGTGATTTTCGATTTTTTTACAGTTAGTGTTTTATGAGCTCCGAAATTTAGAGTTGGATACATTCGTAGCATTTGTACTGGAGTCTCTATTATACTTGTGACAGTTTCTCAAACACTCGCGTGGAGCCAGAAATTTTTTTTAGCAAGGAGCCAAAATAATAATGCATATAAAATAATTAGAGAAAAATTATATACATATATATATATTTATATCATTAACATAACATAAATATTTTAACATATATATTTATATTCAATTTTATAAATATATAACAAAAATAAATAAATATATTTATTTTTTAAATTTTGCTCATTTGATTTTTCATAGTATAAGATTAATTAATTATTATATTTATGATAAAATTGTTACTCCCTCCGTTATAAAATGTAAAACATTTTTAATCGAATCTTATCCCAATAAAGTAATTACCTACTTTCAAACTAACCCTATCTTTTTATATTTATTTCTATTAAATATCCTATAATAAATATAAAGTCACTATCAATAGAGACACTTTTAGAAAAAAGGTAATAATTCCACCTCGAAAGATTAAAAATATTTTATATTTTTTAATATTCAACTCTTCAAAAAATACCTTACATTTTTTAATAAATGGAGTAGCAATTCTCCTCTCAATATAAACTATCATAGTAGATCTTAAGACAACTATAT